CCCCCCCCCCAGCACCACGAGGTCACAGCCAAGAGGGAAAGGACCTCGAGTGGGTACAGCGGCCTCACGGCAACAGCGGGTGGTCTGGGGGCTGCCCCGGGGGGCACACTCACCTTGCGGGTCACCACCCCGAACTGCACCCGGCAGCGGTGGCACTCTTCGGCATCCACCCAATCGGGGGCCTGGGGGATAGGCAGAGTCAGGGTCACGTGGCCCCTGCCTTCCCTGCCGACATGCCCACTCCCCACAAATGGGGGAAGACCCCAGAGAGCGCAGGGGCTGGGGGCCAAGCCCGCAGACGCGAGGAGGGAGGCCACTCCAGGACACCCTGTTCGCTCTAAGCACGTGGCAGCCAGGCTCCCTGCGGGCCGCAGCGACACAACGGCGGGTCTTAACTACACGAGCGCGCCAGCCACAGGCACCTCGAACGACCTTCCGACCCCAGCCTGACGAGACCCAGCGGCACGTTCTCGTGGAGACGGCAGCTCCCCCACCAAGGTTCCCAACAAGCCGGGCCCCCCGGGCTTCCCTTCGGCTCCCTCAAAGCAGCCTAACTCCCAGATGCCCAGCACCCGCCCACCGGTGAACTCACTCTCTCTGCAGCAAACATGGCATCGCTCTCCTTAAACTCCGGGAACACGTGTCCTGAAGAAAAGAGCCCGCGGTCACCGCCGGTGCTACCCTGGCACGCGAGACCCTGACCGCCTCACCTGTCCTCACCCCGTCTGCCCCGAGACCTTTAGGAGCCACGTTCTAACTCTTGGCATCCGCCTCCCCAAATAGACCTACAAAAGGAGGCCTAGAGCCCCTGGGTGCAGAGAGTAGCGACCCGGCACCAGGTGAGTGTGCCTGGGTGCACGAGTGGGCCTGCCCGGTACCCGGGGTGGCTCCCCACGGCCGCGCCATTCCGGGGCTGTGGCATGGAGCCTGGCCGCACTCCCACCACACCAGGGCCTCACGGATCCTCCCTGGACCTCCCATCTGGCTCCTGGCCCCACGCTCCAGCCCCCTGTACCTCTCAGGATTCTTAAAACCAGTTCCCAAGCTTTTCTGAGACGCAGATCCCTCGAGAATTCGAGCTTCGGATGCTCTCCTCAGCAAAGTGAACGTGAGCATATACCCACCATCCCAGGTCCGAGGTCCAGGGACTGTGGGCCTGAGGCCAACTCACCAACACGGACAGGACCCTTGTCACACATTCTCCACAGGTTCCTACCCACCCGTAGCCACCAGACGCTGCCCCTGCCCCAGGCCTCATTTTCAGGGCCAGAGGACTCTGCACAGGTGGGGGACACACCCGCTCAGCCATGGTGGCCCAGCCCTTGCCAGACCCCACCAGCTCGGCACGGCCACTGTGGCGGCGGGGAGGAACCTCAGCTGTCACGGCCCAGCTTAAAGCCCTCCTGGGACCAGCTCTGCCTGAGCTCTCCTGCGGGCTGGCACCTCCCATGCCTTCGTACCAGCCCGCCGTGGCTCCAGGGCCTCGGAACGGAATCCTCTGTGGGATTCCAGGGCCCAGCCCTTCTCACTGCCCGTTCTCGTGTTCAGGTCTGATGTGTGAGCTGCCTGCTCCCCAGGCACTCTCCAGGCCTCGGGCTAAACCAGCACCAGGGTTTAGAGGCAGGGTTCCCAGGCTTTACTTCCTTCCTAGGACCTGACGCTCGGGAATTGGCTCCTTCACTAACCCTTCACTCGTGTGTCATCTGCCTCACCCAGGGGGTGTCGGGTTGCCCCACGGCGATACCACCTCACGCTCCTGCCACCGATCACGCAGCACGATGCCGTCCCCTGCCCCGCACACGGTGCACACAGCCTTCCTTGGGATGGCCTGGTGCAGAGCGGCCCCTCAGCTCCTAGAGGCTGTGTCCCGAGCCTGGGACCTGACAGACCCTGCCCAGCTCACCTTCCACCTTCATGATCTGGTACGTGTCCTGGACCACCTTGTACTTGGGCTCATTCCGGAAAGCATGCGCCCAGGCCTGGATCAGATACAGAATCTTGTTTCGGACATTTACCTCCACCTGCCTCTGCAGAGAAAGGAGAAAGGAGAACAGAGAACGAGGAGGGCCGTGAGAAATGGGAACAGCAGAGAGGTGCCTTGCGAGGAAGTGGCAGGGAGACCGCGCCACTCTGAGCGCATGGGCCGGCAGGGGTGTGTTGAGGGGGGGCCCTGCGTGGGACACAGGGGCCACGCACGGACCCACTCCCCAGGCCCGATGCTCCTCCGTGAAGCCCGGCCCCGAGGACAAGCCCATCACAGCCATCTACCCACACAGGACCGAACTTGTCCTCAGTCCCCTAGAAAAAGCTGGGGCCTCCCTGAAGCCCAGCTCCCCAGATCCACTACCCTGCCTCCTCTTGCCCTACCCCAAGGCGCCCTAACCAAGCCCAGAGGCCCCTCAGTCTGTAACCCCCTGTGGCTCCAGCAAATGCCAGGCCGTAACAGGCAGAGCCAGGCAGGACTGCGTTGAGGCCGCGGATACGCGGCCGGCTGCCTCTCCTCTGGTCACAGCCAGCCTGTGTGGGTGGGGGCCGGCCACTCCAGGAACCTCCCCGCGTGCACAGCCGCCATTTCCACCAGGTTCCAGCACGGCCTGTCACATCTCCAGAGCTCTCTCGGGGACGCTCAGGAAGACAGCAGGGCGAGTAAGCTGCTTCCTGGAGATGCCAACTAGACTCACACACGAGGCCTCCGGTTCTCTCCCGTAACCTGCACCCAGTGAGTGGAGCCCTCTTTCTTACGGTTACCCTCCCTCTACAAAACGGGGTTAACAGGCTCAAGCCACGTGTGGCACATGGGATGTGGCCGCGATAGCACGAGGGGCAGGGCTAGCCCTTCTGACCTTGTAGCCAGGCCACCCTAAGGACTGCCTGGGTCACCAGTCGGAGCCCACCTCAGGCCCCAGATGGGCTCTAGGCCACGTGAGCCCACGGGTGCCCACCCGGGCCGGGAAGCGGCGGCCCCGCCCACCAGTGGTGATAGAGCCGGTATATGCGGCTGGGCTCCTTGGCCGCCCCCAGGTGGCCTCACCCCTGCGAGATGCCCTTTCACCTCAAAGAATGGCTGCACCACCTGCTCTGTATCACTCAACCTCATGTTGTCACCACCCACATCACAATCCCTGCAGCTGGGCGGTGGCCCGTGCAGGACACTCTATCTAGGGACTCTGGAGGACCGTCCCTCCCCTAAGAACAGAGAGTGTGAAACCCACTCCCCAAGGTGTCCCCGGTATGCCGTCTCCCCCAGCTCTCCCTCCACGAACACGTCAGACTCACGTGCCTCCCTGCTCAGAATCCTGGCTCTGCGCGTCGGACAGCCCCCCCCCCCCCCCCC